CCTCTCTACTTCCAGGAGAACATCTACGCCACACGCTATCCCGACGGTCCACAACCCACACTCTCGCTGCAGTCGATCCAGCCCTCGCACTCCCCACTGGAGATCTAGCCGAGGCCCCCCAGGCTGGGACAGGATTGGAGCCCCTGTGCTGCGTCTGTGGTGATATGTGGGGACACTTTCTCCTCCCTATTCATGTCAGTCACTCGACTGCGTCGAGGGGGGGGACGTCTGAACCACAGCGTGTCCCGACTCGACTGCCGGCGTCCCAGTCCGGGGGTGTTTCTCTTCTTATCCGTTACCATGTAGAGCAACGCCGAGGGCGGGCCCTTTCGGGCTCGGGCCGCCCTCTCGCCCGCACCTCTGCGGGGCTCGCACGCGTGGTGCCATGGTGAGCAGGGCCAGCGCACGACCCGCGCGCGCCGCCAGTCATCGCCCGCACGCCGAGGGCCGGGGAGAGCGCACCAGACGATTGGGATCGGGTTGCTCGTAGCTATGTTGCGGCGTTTGGAGTTTTTTTACCTCGCCCACGCGCAGGGGCTGCTCAGAAAATGGTGCACCGCCCGTGCTGCGCACACCCAGTCATCGCCCGCACGCCGGGACACGCGCTCTTCCCTCAGACACCCACTCACCCACTCACCATCTCGCGGCATGCTCGCCGAGGGCGCGCGGGCCGCACCCGTCGGCGGCGCAGAGCGGGCCGGCGCAGAGCGCTCAGGCGCTGGCTCTGCGGCACACATAGGTGCGGCACAACAATGTGGTGCCCAACCAGCACTTCCACAAGACGCTGTGGCAGGACCACGTCAAGACGTGGTTCGACCAGGCCGCGCGCAAGAAGCGCAGGCGCTTGAAGCGCGCTGCCAAGGCGGCTGCTGTCGCGCCGCGGCCCGTCGGCTTGCTGCGTCCAGCGGTGCACCCGCCGACCAACAAGTACAACTACAAGCTGCGGCAGGGCCGCGGCTTCACCTTCGCGGAGCTGAAGGAGGCGGGGATCAACAAGAAGCAGGCGCGGTCCATCGGCGTTGCCGTCGACCACCGCAGGCGGAACCGCTCTGCCGAGTCGCTGCAGCTCAACT